CTTTTGAAAGTTGACACTCAGTGCGCCCTGGAGTTGATTGTGACCAAGATTTCTACATTTTCCGGGAAAAAATTTAAGAAAATCAGTTGCTGGCAAAAGGGATCAATAAGAAGGAAACATCATGATAAATTGAGAAAACACATACAGGTATGTAAGAGAAGTCATATCAGAAATAGAATAAGCTACTTCCCCAGTGAAGTTGTTGTTAGCAAGGTTTCTGGAAGTGAAGAAATATGATGTTAAAGTCACATTATCAGAATGGAAATAAAAGATAGTAGTAACCACTTGCATATAGAAACATACAATCGCTGCACATTTGGAGGAAGTTGATATGGTATGTGCCTCCAAGATTATTATTACTCATGTCCCTGTAAAATTAGATGGTCACGAGCAGCATAACATTGCATCAACAATTGAACACTAGATACACGAGACCATTATTCTTACAGGTTGATCACAGATGTCAAGGTTTGTAACTGGTAGCCTAGTGTTCCCGTTAGTCCAAGGCCAGGTAACTTGCTGATAAGAAGTAACAAAGACTAATCATAAAAAAAATCAGTGTGAACAAAAAGTTGTCATGTGATGTGAAGGCAATGAGAGAGTGAAACTTTACATCTCTGTGACTCGGTTGCCTGAGCAACTAATGCCCTTCCAGTGCTGTCCACATGCATCATCACCACTTGCAGGCCAACCTAGCTGGGATGGTGAATTCATGCTGCCAAACATTACCCTTAGAGCAGCAGCTGCATCAGACATTCAGATACACCAAGTTAGCAAACCTAAAATATGTACAAGAGAATTCAAACCCTAGATTTTTAATGTTGGTGCTTATTTGTCCCCCGTGTCTACTTCACTCTAAACAAAATAAACCTAATATGATACATCATCCAGCAAATATTAATAAGCATGAATGAGCTAATGAATGCCAAATTCTGAGTTAGAAATGAGAAAATTTTCACAAAATCGAAGATTATTCTGTATTGGTCCCTCTGGGGAAAACATAGAACTCAGAAGTATTAGACTTTGGGTGCGAATCTTTCTTATAGATCTCTGTTTTTCCTTTATTATTTTTTTAAGCATTTGTCAACATATCATCAATTCGAACGCGAAACAAGAAGCACCGAAATATTGAGTTCACTGGATAATAACTCCTATAAGATGAAAGGCAGCTACAGGCCATGGCGCACGGATGATAACAAGCACGAAGATTGAAGAATGAATTAGTTCTTGTGTCGTAACACCCAACGCCTAGAAATTGTTTTTCACCTACGGATTAGTACAACATTTCGAGGCCCACTCATCAGGCGAGGCAACTACAATTCAACTTCACTGAATAGGCACAGAAAAGTAAGCACACTTTAGCAGGAAATTACGTTACCAAAAACTTAGATATAGATTTACGTTATGCACTGAATGAGTTTTTCTAATGAAAGGGATGTTAGTGAAGAATCCAAAGAAACATGACTTGACATTATGATATAACACGCAGAGCATACAATTTAAAGATAATATAATCCCTTTAATTGTTGAAATCATTTGCATGGAGAGCAAGAGGCCACCGAACGCTTTGAAAGCCAGCAATCTAAATGAATAACGACCGTCCAAACAGTGAGTGTGATGATAGAAGTAAGGTGTGACACTCAACAGATCAGCTAGAATCAGTAGTGACTGACTCAGAAACCGAAACTCATGACAACCAAGAAAAGCAGGCAAAATGGAAGAGTTAAAGAAGAATCACTAGTGACAAATTTCACCGCAAGCAATGATACATCGAGTTACAAGGAACTCAGGAACTCATGAAAGGAGTGAACTAGCGAGTAAAGCCACTGAAGATACTAACCATCACTTGGATCCGTGTCGCCATTGATGGCAATGGGGATTAAACCCAGAACACAGATGCTGATGAACAGCACTACCAGCCTTCCATCCTCCACATCTCTCTCTCTCTTTCTCTCTCACTTTCTCTCTGAATCAGTCTGTACCCACAAAACTTTCTAACCCAGAAAGCCAAAAGGGAAGGGCATGAAGCCCTTTTAGCCAATTCTTAAACTTTCCCACTGAATGAGGTTATGGGTTTATGGTTAGACATATAGCCATGGCCATGAAAAGCTGGAAAGCACGAATTGCCAGAAGAATCCAAAGCCACAGAAGTTTTACTTACTTTACTGCCACAGTATCAGTATATACTACCATATACGATACATATACATTTATTTTCTAATAATTAAGGGGGAAAAATTATAGACATTGGTTAGTGTGACCACTGCATCCCTGGTTATCTTTTACGTTTTTGGACTTTCTTCCCTCCCTGTAGCTTTCACGGGCATGAATGAATGACACGTGAGTTTTATCTCAAAGATTATATACCGTGGGATAGATTCCATAACCATCTTCGTGGTTTTCTTCCTGGTCAAACGAGCTAAATAGCCCACGCGTTTTTTGGCAAACTAAAAAGAAAGTATAGTAATTTATTACTTATTTGTTCCTTTTAAGAAAAACATGACTGAGGATCACGAAAACAAACTTTGAAATGGTATGCCTAGTGCCTTCTTCTTACTTTTATTTTATTGGCTACTCTTTTTAGATTTTTTGTGCCTAAAACCAAATAGACATTATTAATTAATCTAGTCTGTAATACTGTTGGATTCTTTCATTACTAACTCAATCTAGTCTGTATTTATTGGGTTAAACTTGATCGCATGAGCTTATAATAAAAATTTCTAAAATTTATTTAGCATTAAATCATACCTTCCTCCTAATTATAAGGCAAAGTTTTTAGACCTTGTTTAGTCTTAAATATAAAGTAAAAACGTGGTAGTTAAATTTCTTTTTTGTTTTGTTTTAAATATTATCCCTCCTTACTTGCACAAAATTGTTGTTAGTTAACTTTAGTAAAAGACAAAATTATAAATGATCACTTTTTAAAATTGAAAAAATAATTAACTTTGTCTTATAATTAGACCACATATACGGTAAAAGCATTGAAATCTAGCAACTTAGATTCTCTGCATTTTTTATGCATTGATCAGGATAAAAATGAAAAATTAAAATGCGAAAAACTCACCAAGTTACTTGTTAATCGTTTTAAGTTTTTTTTGGCCAACTTTATTCATCCTTAATTTAGATCGAATATTATTAAAAAGCTCTTTATATTTGTGTATATATATTGACCGAACCTCATATTTACGGTGGAAATTAAAATAAAAAAAGTTTTAAAAGAAGGATCGCCACACCAAACCACATAGTAGGGTTCATTTGAAGTCACTGGGGGCAATGGACAAAAAAGATCAAATACATTGGAGGTTGGTATGAATGCAAAAACTTTTCTTATCCTTCTTTAAGAATGGGGAATAATTGAAGCTTCACTTTTGTGTAAATTATGAAATTATGAATATTAATAATAATGGCGAAATTATATTTTAAAAAATGATGGGGGCCACATCACCTACCTCTAAATCCCACTTGCCTTTCCAAAATATGCCTTTTGCAGAATTGCAGTGTCGGTCGCCTTGCTTTTGTCGTTTTTCTGTTTATTTATTTATTCATTTTATAAGGAAAAATCTTTAAAAAATAACTGTTGAATTTTAAAATTTTAAATTAAGAATTATTATAAAAATACGTTGTCATTTGTTTTTTAAATATAGTCATTTATTTTGAGTGTAACAATTAATACTGATTTAAAATTAAAATTCTACATATTTTTTTAGAATTTTTTCCCAAAAAAAAAAAACTCGTGCTTACTGGAATTTCCGTCAGTGAACTTGGCAGTGTGGAGAAGCAGAGTGACAGAATTTAACAATCCTCCTCCAATCATATATATACTATACTCCTCCGGTCTTTAATATAAAACCCATTAAACTAATTTGATTAGATTAAGGAAGTTAGGGTAAGTTAGTTATTTAAAGAAAAATGACACATTTTTTCTAAAACACCATAATTATCTTTCTAATACCCATTCTTCCTCTTCTCTTCTATTTGATTATAGTTGATGAAGTATCCGTAGGGGTAATTTAGAGAAAACTGATAAATATGATAAATGGATCTTATATTTAGGACCAAAACCAATTCAAGAATTAGGTCCTATATTAAGTACCGGAGAAGTACTTAACTAAATAAGCATGCCATGAAGCCCAAAAAAAAAAAAGCTCACTGCTCACTCTGTTATGATTTATAATGAAAATTACAAGAATCTTATTAGTCCCCAATGGCATAGAAAGATGAGCAGAGGCTTGTCTCTATAGAAGAGGAAGAAGAAGATCCCTTTGTGGTCTTCGGTACCGTGAAATCAATTCTCTTTGATTAGGAATAATGAAATGAAATACCAAAACTCGCCACACAAACTGAAAATTTTGGTTCCTGATTAAGCTTGGAGTTGTTGTGCTGGCTTTCACACTGTGTGCGCTGATTGAAGAACACTCCGGTCCAAGTTCTTGAGTCTCAAAACAGACTCTACATGTCCTCTCAAAGTGTGTAATTCTCCCAGCCTGCTCAGTTTCACACCATTTTTGTTCAGAATTCGCATTGTTTATGAATATTGAATCAAGCAATGCAAATTGAGGGAAGACAGATCTATTTTAGCTCTTGAAAGTTGATATCTTTCTCTGTTAGAACCTGGAAGAGAAAATGTTGGGGGAGAAAAGAAAAGGTACCTGGCGATTTCAGCACGTCTCCTGGCTTGTTCAGCAATCAAAGAAGATCGCCTTCCGATTCCATTATTCACTTCTAAGCCTACGCTCAATACTCCTTGTAAGCTTCTCTGAGAAACAATCCATTGTGCAGCCCTGTCTTCTTTCCCATAGTCTTTCTTAGAACTAAAAGCAGTCTGTTTATAGACAAATTAGGGTTTGTTTAGTCCATTGAACCTGAAACTGAATAGCTCAAACAAAAGATACATTATTATTGTCAGGTACTAACCTTTCTGTCAAATACCAGATTCCAGGCTTGGCCACTCAAAATGTAGCGAATTGTGAACTTGATAATGTCCAAAGGTATATAAAAGATCAAACTGTATAACCATATAACACCAGCCCATCCCCATCCAATGCCTGTAATTTTAGCAAAGCTGATATGTGCATACACAGCTATTAAGGTGGCCACCTGGTTAACATCAAAATGAAACCTATCATAGATAACTAGAGTTTTTCTTGATTTTCTAATCAAATTAATGATTTTTGTTTTTTTTTTTTGGGGGGGGGGTGTTTTCTTTTGTGTTGAAAATATTTGTAGGTCCAATACTGAAGGTTAGACATATGCATTACTGGAAAACTCAGCACTTTCAAATTCCTTGGAGTAGGTTTAAATATTTGCGTGAGTGAGATTACCAGTTGAGCTACAACAAAGGCACACATCAAGAGGCCTCCAGGTCTCTCTAGATATGACCATCCTTGACTTCGTGTTACAAAAATCAAAGCCTGGCTGATGATACTGACTTGAAGATATACAGCAGATGAAACTTTCTCACTGTCACTGGATATAGAGGCTACATGGAAGCGTGTCTGCAGGAGGGGGAAAAAAGATTACTTGGTCTAAACTATGAATCTTTTGGCTTGGCATGATAGCAGCACAATGATGGCTAGCAAAGAAAAGAAACACAAAAGTATTACCTCAAAGAAAGTGGTGTGCACTACGGCCCAGTAGAAAAGAACAGTAATCAAGGCAAGGTAAGTCCCAATAACCACTCCAGTTGCAAATATCTCTGGCAGCTTCCAACTGTCAGGAGTCGGTGATGGCTTTACGCGATCTTTGGATATGGTCATAATAGTCCCTAAATGCAGACACTTCTTTGAGTACAAACCTTACATGTAAATGATTTTCTTTGTTCTGATTGTTCAGTTATTTTGTTTCTCTCTGATTTTGGAGAAAAATTAGCGCTTTGAATTATGACTATTCAAAGTCGGGGATCATAAAAAACAGATCTTATGAAACAGTTCTGCAATTTTCTTCTATATTATCCAGATGGAAAGAATGGATGGACAAATATTTTAATTTTAATAATACTAAAGATAAAGATGATATATACAACTTACGGCTGACATTAGTAAACATTTGAGTTGTTAATGCTTGAAAGTAGAAATTTGCTCATAATGAGCTATCGTATAGTGGAAATGCTGTGAAAACAAGGAAAATCTGGTTTGTCATTTTCAGTTTCCATATGGCCTTTCTTTATCCTTTTTTTTTTTTCCGGTGAAGATATGCTCTTTCTCTATCTTGCCAATTACTATTTCTGCTTGAAAGGGAGGGGGGGGGGGGACTGCAGGGTATACGTTATGAACCCTTACCATCATTCAGTATGGCGATGATCAGGACCATGAAAGGTGGAAAATCATACTCCCAAATCAATGCCAGAAGCATAAAACCAAGCTGTAAGAAACATAATGTATGAATTTCCAAACAAACCCACGTTGGATAGAAGTTCAAGGAAAATGACACTAATATAGAGGCGATGAAACTTATCTTACCACTATCCGAATGGTTATGGAGACTGCATATATCTGCATTTAAATGAGCCGTCAGTGTTACATCGAGTCAGAACAAAAGCTAGCCAAAAAAACAAAAAAAATCAAATCGGTTGCATGCTTTCCAGCTTGATGTTATATATAATATATAGAAGCAGTATGGTACAGTTGATCCGCGATGATATAAAGCAGAAGAGGAAGATGGACACTTAACTGTATAATTTTTCATTCTTTGAAATATAGCTCGGCTAGTTAACACAGCACTGATAATAACACTTAAACCGGGTTCAGTTAAAACTATATCAGCAGCACTTCTCGCAGCATCAGTTGCATCTGACACAGCAATCCCAATGTCTGCTTTCTTTAAAGCCGGAGCATCATTTACACCATCTCCAGTCATTCCAACTACGTGCTTCTTTTCTTGTAAAATTTTCACAATTTCGTACTTGTGTTCTGCGAGTATGGCAAGAGTAAAAAAAAAAATCAGTGGATGGTCTGTGTAATATTACAACCTGGATTTTGATTGTTCTTCAAAGTCACTGAAGCTCTGTAAATTATTCAAATTTTTTGGTGTATGGTTTCCTGTTAAACTAATTTTTCTGTTTAGTATTTTGATATAAATGAGAACAAAGGAAAGATAATAGTGAAATATTAGGATAAAGTACCGGGAAATACACCAGCAAATCCATCTGCCTTTTCAATGAGCTCGTCTACTGGGAGGGCTTCATTTTCATCTTTGTCACGGCCCAACAATGATGAAGAAGGGTACATGTTTGTCCCCATACCAAGTCTTCGGCCTGTCTCTTTTGCAATGGCCAGCTGATCCCCTGCATTCACACATGTAATCTGGTTTAATTGTCCTTCAAACTCTTCAATGATTTCCTATGTGAGAAGTAAACAAAATTTTCTGATGTATGTGATCATTTATTCTAACTTCCAAGATGCTAAGAATCAATTTTCTCAACGGCAATGTTGTTACAGTTCCCGAATTGATATTAATCTTTATGGAGATGAAAACAAAGAGATGGAAGAAGAATTATCTTTACTAGTCCTAAATCAGAATTTATTAACAAATGATTGCCTCAATGATGACCAACAACACAGAAGACTCAAAGTTACCTTGCAGGTAGAGAAACGGAATAGCAACAACACAGGCTTTTATAGAACTAGAAACACTATACATCCCTTAATATGTTGTAAGACTTTCATATTTACCTGTAATCATCTTAACATTGACTCCGAGGTTAAGTGCTCTACGTATAGTCTCAGCACTATCATGTCTTGGAGGATCAAACAAGGGGAGCAGCCCGCAAAAGGTCCAAGGACCTCCGGGACTCTCCTTGGACTTTTCAGGAACCTCCTGAAAAGGTTATCATAGAATTTTGCTCAATATGGAAATAAAATGATGTTAAGAAATGGCCTAAATCATATGATTACGATGTGGGATTGCAGAATTTCTCTCTATTAATGACAACTTGATACCCTTTCGCTTCAATGCATTGTGAATTCAGTCGGACGGGAAAAGATAGAGGAGGATAGGTAAGATGCTGAACCTGGAAGGCAACTGCAAGAGATCGCAAGCCCCTTTCAGCATATTTGTCAATGATGGCATGAACTTTTCCGGCAATCTCATCTCTCTCTTGGCACATAGTTAGAATCTGATAGTCAAGAAACAATATAAAGAGTGAAGGTGTAATGCAAAACCCAGGTTTGAAGAGGACTTTTTTGGTAAGACGTTAGGAGCACGCTTAGCCGGAGATAGGGACTAATATTTCCTAGATAGAACTTTACCAAATAGGTTTGCTTCATACATAAAAGATAATAATCAAATCCCCTGCCAATTATTTAACGGACGAGAATCCGTAACACTCATGCAAATTTGAGTTATCATCTCATGTTATTGTGATAACTCAAATTGAAACTTCTAAATTTGATGACCTAGATCCTTCTTTTCTGCATTGGGGATAGTTGTATATTGTATTCATCAAAATAAAATTTAATCTCTTTTAATTTTCATACCTGTTCAGGAGCTCCTTTGCTGGCCCTATACCAGTTGCCTTCAAAATCAATATATGTAATGGCAGTACGTTTGTCTACGGGATTGAATGGTAGAAAATGAACTTCAGTGATGTTAGCACGTGCCTGTGGAGGAAAGAAATTTTTTTTTCTTCTCTTAGTACTAGCCCATGCCAAAAGCAGGGTTGAAAACTTGCCTCATCAAAATAACATGAGCATCTATACCTCCCTTGGATCAGCTAGCATATTAACAATGGCAGCATCAATGGCATCCTGGTTTTCCATCCTAGCTGCTCTGGCTGCTAGTAGGACAACCGTATCTTTGTCCATGTTGCTGTTGAAGACCTATTCAATATCACAGAAGCGAGGTTCTATAAGGAATACAAGCAAAAATCAGAACCGTCTAAGGATCCATCATCTGTACACTTGGTACTAAAATCTGTAGCTTCTATTGGACAGTTTTATGTACCTCTACAAGGTTTCGGTCAACAGTAAGACGATTCAGGGTAAGAGTTCCAGTCTTATCACTGCAGAGTACATCCATACCTGCCATCTCTTCAATTGCTGTCATTCTCTTTGTGATGGCTCCCTTAATAAGAAAAACATTGTCAGCAAACAGATATGCTTTTGTGCATTAAATTTAAACATAGCATATGATTTATGGCGTGTTCTTCAATAATGAGGACAAAATATTAACTTCATCAAATTCAGTTGGGTCTTGGTGAAAATCATATAATAGTGGAAAATGAATTTGACCTCAAATCTGACTGTCACTGGTTAATGGTTAATATAGTAAAAAGTCACACCTGCTGTGAAAGTCGATGAGAGCCAATTGCAAGCGTCACAGATAGGACTGTTGGCATGGCTATGGGAATTCCTCCAATTAAGAGAACAAGAAGGTTGTTGATTCCATCCCTATATGAACGTTTCTCTATAGGATACATTACTATGAGTTCAATAATCATCCCTACAGCGATAGAGCAAATGCAGAAGTTCCCAATTGCGGTTAGGACCTGCAGATAAGTAGTCAATAACAGAGTTAAACTATTAAACCATTTATAGAATTGACGAATATATGAACATTCTTTATCGAGTGAGCGTTATCAGATAACCATGCTAAAGGATTTTCTAAAAGTCACCTTTTGAAAATGTCCAACAACTATAGTACTATCAACTAAATGTGCTGCCTTTCCAAAAAAGGTGTGAACTCCTGTTGCAATGACTACAGCTTCAATCTCTCCATGCTTACATGTTGAGCCAGAAAAGACTTCGTCTCCTTTCTTCTTGGTTACAGGCAATGACTCTCCTGTGAGAGCTGACTGCAGAGAACTATCTTAAGTCAAAAACCAAGATAACTATTGACTCCATCTTGACCAATAAAAAATAGGTTGATCGGGATGCATGGGAAATCAGTGAAGCAAAGAATCGAAAGATTTTGTTCCAAGTTTAACAGACACTTGCCTGGTCAATTTTTAGAGGGTCTCCTTCAAGAAGCCGAGCATCAGCTGGAACGATATCTCCCAGTTTTATGCTGATTATATCTCCAGGTACTAAAATAGTTGCATCTTGCTCTTGCCACTGACCATCTCTCAGAACCTGGATATTTGGATGTTAGAGAACTCCCGTACTTTTTTGTTCAAGGAAGGGAAATTTCAGCAGTTGTAAAATTTATTGACCACTTGACGGGTATCATAAAGTACTTCTATCTTGTGCAGGATTTTGAAACAAAATACTAATATCAGGCCCAAAAGAAAAAACGGAACACTGCATGAACAAGGAACTTCTTGAAGTTTTGCATAATTCTAGAATATTTTAACTCATTCAACAAGTTCACTGTGAAGAAAGAGAACACAGATAATGGGTTTGAGGATTATTGAAAAAGAGGCATACCTTCGTTTTTGGAGCCAAGCGAGCCATCAATGCAGCTGCTGCATTTCCAGCATTATTCTCTTCAATAAAACTAATGGTGGAGTTTATGAGCAGTAGGCACACAATCCCTACAAAGTCCTGCCAGTCAGGACCCTCCCCCTGAAATATCACCAAATAAAGAAATAAGGAAACAGTTCACCAAAAAAAGAAAAAAAAAAAAGATGAGAAAAGATTGCAGAACATGAATTATTTTATTTACTCACTCCCCCATTAGCAAGAGCAATTGCCATTATAGCAGCTGCTTCCATAACCCATGATAGAGGGTTCCACATGAAACTCAGAAACTTCAATATTTTATTTTCCTGCATCAATATTTGAAGGTGAGGTTATTTCAGTAAAGTGCATGATGATGCTAGAACAATGAGATTCTTCTGTTGTCTCCTCATAGAAAATACCATTGAAGCAATATACAACAGATTGAAACTTCTCAATCCAATACTCAACAGTGACTTTCATAAACCAAAATGGCATTGGAGAGAAGAACTAATTGTAAACTCTTGCGCCTTAATGTTTGAGGGGATGTAAAGTACTGAATTGTATATATTTTTCCTCTGCAATAACTAATGATACTCTGTTTTACAAAGTATGACACATACTAAAGTATCGTGGAAACTTTTTCCCCCGGGAACTATTAGTTGTATCATAACATGACCTCTTTTTGCAGTGTTCATGTTTGACAATTAGAGACATTAATATCTTCTTCAGATTTTATATCATGGAATTAGGAGGGATAAAAATCTGCTATCTTCATGAAGCGACTTCTTACAGGCTTCTCTTCAAGCTTGTTTTGGCCAAATATCTCCAGTCTGGCTTCAGCATCATCAGATGAAAGTCCTCCTGGCGATGTTTTCAGCTGCTCAAAAACTTCTTCCAATGGTATGCGTTCCTGACCAATAGTCACTCAAAAATGTTATTCTTCTGTACAGGATGAAACTGAAAAGTACGATAAATATGACCTGAATCTTGATTCAAGGTCAGCCTTGGTTGTGAAACTTACCAAATCGACACCTTCTCGACTGAAATTCTCTGGGTCAAGCAAAGGCTTATCCAATCCCTCAGCCATTCTACAGATACATCATATAGTAAGAGATGTATATATATACATATATATAAAAGCAAATGCCAGTATTCCACTATTACTTAATCCATGTAAACTGTATCAATGAGGGAGAAAAAACATACACTTGGGGATCATGCTCAAATCGATCTTAGATAGTAAACTCATTGACACAAAGTTCACTGTTTTTTATGCTTTTATTTGATTAAAAACATATCAGTCTACAACTCTTAAGAAGCATTACTATATCCTTACGAACACTGGTACAATAAGAAGTGAACTAAAGCTTTACAAGTCTCAATTAATGTACTTATTTAGTGCATAAACATCTTCCAAACTTGCATAAAAAGTAGTGAACTAAAGCTGCAACACACACACACACTTCCTTCCGCCATTTCTATATTTCCCCTGGCATGGATATTCAGAGATAAGCCTTTCTGGGTTTGTGTCAAGTTTGACAGAGTAGAGCAAAAGCACAAAAGTACTTACTTGGAGGGAAAGTAAGAGAAGCCAGAAGAGAAGTAAAGCAGAAGAGCACCTCTCCTTGACCTCCTTCTCTTTTTCAGTGAAAGAGGTTAGAGGCAGAGTGTGGTATTGAGAATAGGAAGGTGAGGAAGCGAGAATGGCAAGAAGAAGGAGAAGATAACGAGGATGACGGGGGTGGGCCATGAATTAAAAAGGGGGTGCTATTGATTTGGTAGCTGAGACTGTTGGTTATCACCAGTCGCAAAAGAGAACGGATGATCGGTTTCTAATTACGTTGTTGATTGTCGAGTGCTGCATGTTTGGATGTTGGAGGCGCCACATTTCAGGCACGCTTAGATTTTTAGGTTGACGCCAAGGAAAGACCGTTCCGCTTAACTAACTTTCAAAACTCGAACCTTTTCAACGCACCAACCTAACGTTCTCTATTTTTGCAATCCTACTCGTGCTTCCATTCATGTGCCTCCTCGGCCATTATATTTTATTTATTAACCACCGTCTTAAATATGAAATCTATTTTATAATATAAATTACATTTTAAAATAGATTTTATATTTAGAATTGGGAGAGAGTATTAACTATGTTTCATTTTGATTCCATCAAAGTTTCAGCTTAATATATGTATTTTTCTTTTAAAAAAATTAATTAAAGAGATTTCAAAGTCAATAATAATCACACTAACTCCTCTTTTGTTTGGCTCAAAATTAATTTATCTATATTTGGATTAGCTTTTCAGAACTAATTTTACAATGTTCAAAATAAGTACATGAGAAGAATTTTATCTCCAATTGCGTGAAAATAAAATACCATGTCATTAAATAATTTTTGGGGACACTTTGACTAGATGGGATTATTTTAGTAGGTTAGGTGTTTTATTTAAAAGAATATTTTTACATTTAAGGGGAGAACTCTCCGTATATTAATTCCTTGTAGGACAAAATTATTTAAAATTAGCCAATCGAAATGGGCACTAAGGGGAAAAAAAGAAGGTAAGTGGAGGAAAAGACAGGCAAATCCAAATACACCAATTGATCTCAAATGACTAATGTAAGTTCATTCATGTCAATCACCCATCTGTGCGAGTGAGATCTATCATTCCACCAGAAAGGGGGGGCCAAGCATTTACATGTTTGACTGTATGTGTAAAGCGCGCGGACGCACCCATTTTTCGTTGATTCGTTCGATTATGACACGTGGGAAAAAAAGTTGGATTTAAGTCTTATTTCTTTATTCATTTAAACTAATTTTAAAATAACACGGAATTGTTTTATGCAGAGAACATCAATCATCATCAATCAATAAGTTATATCTTTAAAAATATGTAATACCCTATTCATTTAAAAAATGAGTCTGCTATGATATTATGGTATCTTAATATATTCAATTAATGATATTTGAATGACATCTTGATTGAGATTTAAATATATTGAATTAAATGGAAGAACATTATAAATTAACTATCAACTATTATCATTGTTAACTATATTCTTAAAAATTTGTATTACTTAATTCATTTAAAAATAGATATGGTATGACATTATGGGATCTGAATATATTTAATTCTGGTAAAAAAATATATTTAATTAATGAGATTTGAATAATATTTTGATTGAAATTTAAATATATTGAATTAAATGGAAAGACATTGTAAACAAATGGAATTTCAATTGCAGGGTCAAATGAAGAAATTAATAATTAATTTTGAATTTGAATAATATTTTAATTAGGATTTATATATATTGAACTAAATGTGAAGCATCATAATTAAACAGTATATCAATTGGAGGTTTAAATAGAAAAATATTTAATTAATTTCAAATTTTTATTTATTTCTCTTAAATTTTGCGTTTCTAATTTAAATTCTATTTAAATGAATAGAAAAAGCATAGCCATATAAAAAGTAAATTTTGAGCTACCATAAATAATGTGATTTATTATAATTTTAAATATAATCAAATATGCTAATTCGTGCATAATATAAAAGAGAAATTTCTAGTGTTCCTTCTAAATTTGTGTCCGGTCCTACATTGGTAACTTTGTGTTTTATTTTTTTGTGGTTTTGTCTTGTGTTATATGACACGTGGAAAGTGCGGCAACACATCTTTCCCGTCACTTTTGCACTTGAAATGAAATGAAGTTTGCCGTTCAACTAAAAAGTGGGATTTAAGTCTTATTTCTTTATTCATTTAAACTAATTTTAAAACAACATGGAATTGTTTTATGCAGAGAACATTATCTTTTTAAATTTGTGTCTGGTCCTAGATTGATAACTTTGTGGATATTTTTTGTGTGGTTTTGTCTTGTGTTATTTTACCAAATCATACATGAAAAGCATCTAGTGAGGTATATATGTAGTTAAATTATGGCTTATTTGCTTGACTACAATATTTTGTAATTTTATTTTTTTGGATGTGAATAACAAGTTTTATCATTTTTCAAATGTACTATTTTTAAAATAGTTATCTAAGTAGATCTTTTTTTGTGTTTTTATTTCCAAAACTTGTCCAAAATTGGAAAAAAAAGAAAAAAAAAATCAAATATCTTTCTATCTTTCATCATCCGCACTTCAAAAGAGATTAGTCTCTACAGTTAACAATGAATACTGTCTCACCAAATAACAATTTTTGAAAATTGTCCTAACTTTTAATATTTAAATCATAATATTAAAATATGCCCATAAGTATTGAGAGTTTATGTTCCAGACAACTGAATTAAAAATGGGAAAAATAGTGCGGTCCTCAGTGCAAGCTGAGACAAGAAAGTGAGAGGAACTTGCCCAGATGCCCTCCGTGGTGGTCTATATAAATGCCGCATGCAAGACTTGAGATAGGCTTCTATGCTAATACTTTCAGAATCGGATGCTATGTGGCCCAACAGAGGAGTAAGGGAGAGAGACTGCGGCTCTTTTGCTATCAATGTAGAAATGTCTTATTACCATCTCTTGTTTTAATTATAAGATTTTATTTATAGTTTATAAATAAGATATTTTTTGATTTTTAATATAAAACTTATTAAACTAATTTGATTAGATTAAGAAAGTTAGGTAAGTTAGTTAATTATAAGAAACGTGACACGTTTTTTCTAAAATATCATAATTATCTTTTTTAATACCCCATTATTCTTTTACTTGATTATAGTTGAAGGAGTATCCATAAGGGTAATTTAGAGAAAACTGATAAATATGAAAAATAAATTTTATATTTAGGACTAAAACCAACTCAACAATTAGGTCTTATATTAAGAACCGAAAGAGTATTATAAATAAGACCGGAGGTAATCTATTAAGTCGAGGTAAAACTCCCCTCAACTATTTATAACACATTCTAAGGGTGTGTTTGGGTGACACCCCAAACCATGGTTTGGGGTGTCAATCACCCAAACACCCCCTCTAAAAACCAAAACCATGGTTTTGGGTCAAAACCATGGTTTGACTCCAAAACCATGATTTTGGAAAAAGCAAAAAAATTTTGCTTTTGGAGAAAAAAAGGAGAGTGTGAGAGCCTATATGATATGTATCTTGTTATTTTTTTTATAAATATATTTTTTGATAAACATATTTAATCTTATATTTTATAAATATATACACATTAATTATTTATTAATTATGTTGGTAAAAAATATATTATTAACAATTTTATTCCTTCAAATTAAAATAGATCATAAAATCTATTTTTTCTGTAATTATCATATTAACTTATGTCTTTTTTTAAGTAATTTGTACATATAAAAAGTGCTTTTGATAACAACTATTCAAACACTCTCACTTCTCAGAATCACTTTTTTACAAAACCTATTCTTCACAGAATCTATTCTCCAGAATCACTTTTTCAAACTACGGTTTGGTTTCATCCAAACACACCCTAAATCAACTCTATTTTTATAGTGAGGAGGATACTGTGTGACCGTAAGTCAAAAGCAGAGAACAATATCCTTCGAGGTAGTTAAGCGAAATGCAAGAAAGAGAGAGACTCCTTGCTAAATTTGCATATTATAGGAAATATGGTTTACACCCAAGAAAAGATGACTTCTGCATTAAAAAAAAAGTAAAAAAAAATTCAATTGTGTAAAAGAGATATGCTGCACATGAAAAAATAATTGCATACAAAAAATATTATATTGTACTACCTCCGGTCCTAATTATAAGAGCCAGTTGACTAATTTGAGGAGATTAAGAAAGTAAGTTGAGTTAGTTATTTGTTATAAATAGGTGTTGTCTTTCCTAAAATATCCTTACTAATCAAATGTATTGACTATAACTATTATTGTTAGAAGGGCTACTTTTAAAAAAATATATAAATATGAGAGACAAAGTGGATTGAGGTCTTATATTTAGAACTAAAATAAAAGTCAAACAGAGTCTTATATTAAGGACCTACAAAGTTTTTGAGACTATTTGTCAATTAAATTTTAAATCAATATTTTTCTCCAATTTTCTTATTTTAAAACCGCTCAAAAAAATTCTAAATAAATACAATTCCTCTTATTTTAAATATAAAATTTATTTTATAGGATAATTTATATCA